GAGCATGGTATGATAATATTTTGTGAGCTTATGCGCTGCTGGAACAATCATTCGGGTAGAAAGTGCACATATAAATGGGCTCAGTAAGTGTACTTAGCCTCATAAAGGCCTCGTTTGAAGCAGCCAAGCCAGCAACAGCCTAAGCAGTGGTTGGTAAGAACACCCACACCAGCGAGCGAGCCTTGGCCATCGATCATTGCACACCAGTAAAATCTCTAACCAAACAGGGTACAAATCACTGGGCACGCGCACCGGGCGGGCCGGTGCGATCGTGCGTTTTTGCAATGTTTCGCGCTATAATGAGATCGCTCTGAAAACCAATAGCTAGAAATATGTGACATACTGGCCCATGAATTTCAGGAATTAATTGTCTATGCTGTACTTGGACAGGGAATATTCCCTAAAAATTTCAAACTCCCAACTTTCCCAGTTCCTGAGTTACACATATTCCCGCCTAAAATTTTTACGGAGCCGCACGTGGAATAATTTTTATGGGATGAGTGTTTACGTGTGTGGATCGCCGCGTAGCGTGGTGCTCTGAGTGTAGGCGCACTGTAGAGAAGCAAGATCAAGTTTATGACTTACTGATGATGAATCGTGCAAACAGCAAACAAACAGCACGAAGTGTGGCGCTTGGAATCTTTCGAGTCTGTGAGCTTGCCGAGCAAGCATTGTTGTAGCAGAGAATGGTCGATGAGGCCCAGAAGTGTACCAGACGAAGCCGAGTCCCAAAAACCTTGAACAGCCGGAGATGGTGTCGGTCGAGGGGACTGAGAGCCGAAAAAGCTGAAGGATTCAAAAACTAAGACGACGAAGAATAGCAGAGAGGTTTATAAAGATGTAAGAACCGCCTCAACAGAGGATATGATAGTTTTTGAAGGGGTTGAAAATGTAAAAATGCTAATTAAGGCAAAGTGAAATGTGGAAAGGGAAAATGGAAATAAGGGTTTTTAAGGGGGTTAAAAAATGAATTGAAAAGGAAAATAACAAAAGTGAAAGGTCTGGGTTTGCAAATGCATTACAAAATACGTCTAAAACGGGATAAAGGGGACGAATGTATAATTAGGTTTTTACAGGCGTAAAAAAAAGGACGAAAACGCAGAAAATTGTAAACACATAGGAATGCAAATGGCATTCTTGACTCATAGGGCAAAAAGGAGAAAATAAAAAAAAAACATTATATAATTTTATAATGAGAACAGCATACTTTATACGTGGTAACCACGCATGCCCGGGATTGAGTTTGATAAATTTAAGTTGTACATGAACTTGGAACATTCCCTGAAACTTCCAGCCTCCCAATTTCAGTAGTTCCCCAGTTAGCCATTTTCCCGCCAAAAAAATTTCACAATGCTCCATGCGGGTACCGCGCAAACCTCGGGGCTGAATTTGAAATCTTCGAGTTCTGTATGGACGGGGGAACATGACCTCAAAATTTCAACCTTCTAGCTTTCCTCGCTACCGAGCTAGCAATTTTCCCGCCAAAATTTTCATGCGCTCGCACGTGGGTCCCAGATGTGCGTGAGGGTCGGTACCGCGGTTCTGGGGTGGCACCAAGCCGGTGAACCCACCTGTAAAATTTTGACGCCGGAACTTGCTTGGGTGTCGACTTGAGATACCCGGACAGACAGACATACGCACACATAAACACACACACCCGGGTCATCGTAATAAGCGTTTTCGCACTTGAATATATGCAAAAACGCATAAAAAGCAGTATTTCGCGTACTCCATCATCGCGAGAGTTGCGTGACATAGCTTGTGAGCATGCAGCACAATTCTCATTTAGTGCTCGATTCGAAAAATTTCCAAGAGAAATTTAAATCAAGAGATAAATAGTCTCAAAAGAAATTCGAGCTCACCTAAGCACACTCACTGATTATCACCTGGGAAGAGTAAATCATGTTTATAGAGTTAGCAAATTTCACATTAGCAGAATCGTCGAGCTGCAGTTATGCTTCAGACAAACATGAGCTCACCCAGCCCTAGACAAAAACCCTAGCTACTCTGTGGAATGCAGACTGAAGGCAGATTGTTTAATTTTATCTTCTCATCTTTTGACTTAAATCTTTGCTGCAAAAAATAATCACCTCAAGCTGTGTTGATGAGAAAAGCCAATCTGGAAAAAAATACAAGAAAAATATGAACAAAAACTAAAGAAAGAAAAATAAAAAACAAAAAAAGACAAACATAAATGCTAGCCGAAAAAACCCTACTCACTAGAAGACAGTTTTCAAAAGCTACAGTCAAAACAAAACAATTTTTAGACTTTGTATGCATTTTTGCTGTACAGCGCTATGGTCCTCCTACAGTGAGCAAAAACGCATATTTTTGAGAGGCCGTCCATGTGTGTGTTCGGAAATGAGTAAACTTTATCACTCACTTTCAATTCAACAACCAGGGAAGCTGGAGGGGGAAAGGGGAATTTTGAGGCCATATTTCCATCCTCTGTGCCACCCTCCCATTTTAAAATCTTCGCTCATACGCGCTAGGTCTCACTCATAGACCCCAGAAAAAATATACAGATTTCTTTGGCAGGAGACGATTTCATGAGCCAGGCAAAATAGAAAGCTGAAACTTTGCAGGAATATTCTCCGTGCATACGTGAGCTAAAGATTTCAAATTCTGCTTATACCGCGTGTATGATCACCCCAAAGATCACAGTTGGCACTGTGCTAATTCAAAAACTAGCCAGAAAGCTGTAGCTGAAATTTTGTAAGAGTATTTATTATTCATACGGAAAATCTAAATTGAGTTTCAGTTTGCACTTGGGCAACGATTTAGGCACATCAGAGATATTTTTAGCGAAGTGGCTGTTTCGCTTACTTGGTAAGCTGCGAAGCTGAAACTTTGCGAGAATGTTCCGTATTCAGATGTGGTCTTAATTCCGCTTGTAAGTGAAATTCCGTGAACGCGGACATAAAAATACTCAGTTTTATTGCACACTCAAAAGCGAGTGCATTTTGCAGGTTTCATAGCCCTCTTCGGACTTCCTTCAAATTTGCATATTTTCAATGAACGAGCATTCACCGCCGGGAAAACAACCAGACTTCATGTAGAAAACTGATAATCATGTACGCTGTATGTACAGCCCCAAAAATTCCCAGCCAACGCCTCTTGAACGCTAGAAGAGGCCAAAACACAGCCAGTGTGAGTCTAACTGTTAAAGTACAGCGCAGAAGCCATTTTTGCTGTTAGCACTCTGCAAGCTTAGCACCAAAACGCATTATCGCACCTGCAAGCCTAGAGCGCTGCAGCCTGGGTTATGCCTCTCTCACCACGTTTGTGTTTCTGCACCGCACATAACGTCAGGTCACGGCCATTCAGCCATCTGTTTATTTTCAGCTTTCTCCTAAACACTGGAGAAAAGCAACAACAATGATTTTCGATTTAAACTCAATATGCTTACACGGATGTGCAAGATTTAAACCCTAAATGAAATGAAACACGATGAAAACTCGAGAGGAGAACAAGCAAAAATGAAAAAGCGCTTCGGCTACCAAGAACACTTTAGATCGTTGCAGAAAAAATAAGCATCATGGAAGGTGAAGGTAAAATGCACCCTTGTCGATCCCACCTACTAAACACCACCTATTAAACAAAGTAAATTGTCACAAAGCATCGCTGGACTTATGTGAGAGAGAATGTATGGCAACAAAACTGTTTCAAAAAACTTGCAGGACTGAAGAGGTCATGCTTTTCAAAGCACTTTCTAATCCTAAAATTGCCAACGATCACGCATATGTATAGTACGGTATGCATGTCGAGTTTGAGAAATGAAAAGATAGGACCGCACCAATAGCGCAGTTCCCAAGATTCGAGAATACACAGTATTGACCTCATCAGCTGATCAGTGGGGATATGGTAACAGTTATTTGATTTACACGCAAGATGTTATGGCAGAGCGAAATGAATGAACAGTGAGGAGAGGAAGGATGAAGGGGTTAAGAGACTAAGGAAGAAGATAAGACGCTTCGGTCAGGTCGTAAACGTGTTAAATTTTGAAATCTAAAGGAGCAAAAAAAAAAACAAAAAAAATTTTAAGCGGGCAAAAAAAGAAAGAAAACCTGTTGTTGACGAGCTTTTTTGCCGAGCCATGTATTTGCAGTGGATGTTGGATGATTTAACAGCGAGGATGATGGCGTATCATCATGCTGTTCCTGATCACTCTTCTGGAAAACAACGACCGGTCGTGTAACCATCGATTGCGACTGCGTCAACCTCTCCCTGAGCACAGACCAAAAACAATAAGCATCACAAAAATCATAGATGCCGCAAATTATTTTGATAAAGCTGTGTTCCGAAGATGGTTGCGGTTTGAACAGCAGCATTAACATGTTGATTAAGAATCACTGCTCACAGCTTCTCAAACATGTACTGTCGGGAAGATGGCAATCACGTGATACAGTTATTACAGTCCAGCTGACGATGTCGCAGGTTTGCCGGTGCGATTGTGCGTTGTTACATGATTCTATTTTGTACAGCGATCGCCCACTAGTGGATGTGACTGCGGCGTTGCAGTTTGAACATCTGATACGTCAGCGCACACGCCCCATGCCTAAGCAGAAGCTTATCTTGCGCTGGTTGTCCGCACATGAACAGCAAACATCCTCGGAAAAATGCTCCTTCCTGCTTCGTCTGTTTACCGAGCTAATTCGACGCCAATAGCAATCCGAACTAAACATTAACTTGCATGCACGCTACACCTAGACACGTTTTAAAGTTGAATATGAAATATTTGGGTAGCACATGGACGCAAAATATTCTCAGTTGCAGCAGCCTAGCCTGACTGGTTGGCCATATCGCTTTTCGTTGCAAATATCTTTGACATTTGAACGCACAACACAAGCATACGCCAAAGTTGGCATTCAGTCAGCGATTTCAAAATCTCAACACTGACATTTCTCTGCAAATGACAAAAAGAGGCGTTAAAGCTGAATTTTAAATTCTTAGTTCATACAAGAGTGCAAAACATCCCTGCGAAATTTCAGCTCCCTATCTTATCTGGTTCTTGAAATCGCTTTCTCGGTAAAAAAATTTCTATGAATTCTTTTAGGCACGTGTATAAGATCTAAGCGTGGGGAGCAATAACACTAAAGTGGGAGGATAGCATACCCCTCATGTTTCGGATTCCTAGTTTCTCTGCTCCTCGAGTTGAAAATGAATAACGAAAAACTCGAATACACAGACACACGGACAGAGACACATACATAAAGAACCACTTGCCAATAAGTGATTTTGCACTTGCATAAACATGCATAGACGCATAAAAATCATCAAAAAAGCAAGTCACGTAAGTTATAGAATACCAGCGTGAGAAAAAAGTACATGAAATAGAGAAGCGAAAAAAGAATTGGACATATTTTTGGCTGACAACTAGTCGACGTAGTGTATCAGCGAGTAGTCGTTCAGTTTAAAGGAAAGGCTACCCAGGACACTTTTAATGAGATAGCATGCGCGCGTGGGAAAGTCAGCATTTAAAAGTTAAACCCAGGTTGGAACGCACCAGGCTCTTCGGACCGATCATGCGTTTTTGCACTAAACTCGCTGATCACTATTAGCAGGAATGATCCTTACGCTGTAGCCTAACACTTGGGTCATATTGGCATGCTTTGATCTTTCCCGGCATGCAGGAGGAAAGGCATTAGTTGGGATGAAGATGGTGCATTATAGAGCCGCACGGACAGGTGCACGATCATCGGTTTTTTGCATGATCTCCGGTCGTTTCTTCGGTAAATGCTTGCTTTTGTGAAAAAATGGAAAATGCAAATTTCCAGTTCATGAAAAATTGGAAGTGTTGCTCGAACGGTCGTTTGTCAAAAAAATCCATGTTGATTTACATACACGATTGCGGTCCAGGTCCGAGTTGCGAACAATTTTTTTGAAAAAATGCAAACTTCTAGTTTATTAAAAGTTGGAAGTATTGCTTGGACGGTCGTTTTTCAAAAAATCCATGTTCATTTGCATATACGGTTGCGGTTTATATCCGAGTTGCGAACGATTTTTGGGTTGAGGAGCTGCTTGAGGCTGTGGTTAGGGGGTTCAACAGCTGAGTTTAAAAAGCTCGCACTTGTGTAGAGAATATCTCTGCAAAGTTTCAGCTTTTTACCTTGCCTGATTCGCGAAATCGTTTCCTGCCAACACACTTCTTTGGGTGGCCCGTACACGGGGTCTAGGGGCGTATGGGGAAGATCTTAAAACGCGAGGATGACACACGAGGTAAGAACATATATCCAAAGTTTCAGCCTTCCAGCTTTCCTTTTGCTGAGATGAAAGTAGGTGACAAAATGCACTCGCTTCCGAACACACACATACAGACAGCCTCTCGACAATATAAGTCTTTGCTGGCTGCGCTATAGCGCTGCTACAGCGTTGTACAACAAAAACGCATAAATGCTGAAGCAGTACGAATCGCGCCTGCATCTTCATAGCCTTACATGGCAAGTTTAGTTTCTCTACTACGAATAATAGAAAACACAGAAATTGTTTGAAGCACCTTTTATTCTTGATATAACGTATCCTGAGCAGAAGACGCCTGGGAATGGAAAGCACGAGCACAACATCGTCAATGCTCATCGTAGACACATCGACATTATTCACTGAAAGAATCTCATCACCCGGCCGAATAATATTGCCATATTTCTCCAACTCTGAATTCTCACCAAAACGAGAAGCAAAGACACCAGATGTCCTGAAATGAAACACTTTTGCTCTGATAACATAACCCAGCATGATACATTGCTTTTCGGGCAGCAAGAGAGAAATGTACTGTCAGAAGAACAAATAAATGGCGGCACGCGCCAGAGTAGCCAGTGCGATCATACGTTTTGTGCAGTTCTACTAGCCGACCTTTTGCTGCTAAGGATCTTCACTGAAAAATGTTGACTGGTTCCTACGTTGCAAAGCTTCTCACTAAAAATTTCACTCGTCGGTTTGTAAAAGCTGAATTTGAAACCTTGGACGGGAGCACTCACCCTTCCAAGTTTCAACCTTCCAGTTTTTCGGGTCCCGTGCCAGTGATTTTCACATCAAACCAACCACGTGATCGTACGTAGGAACTTGGGAAACTTGGGAGCTAGGCTTGAGTTTGTGAGGTATCTGCACAGACAAAAAATGTTTTCCTGAAATTTTAGCATCGCAGCTCTTCTGGTTCCTGGGATAACAATTTTCCTCACCCATGCTCTGCAGGGCTGTATAAGAGACCCCCGTGTATATGAAAGCTGAATTTGATTTTGCGAGGTTGCACACTCCCAAAATTTCAGCTTCCCATCTTTTATGGCTTCCGAGATGATAATTTTTCCATGGAAACTTTCACGAGGACGTAATTGAGACTTGACTGAAAACTGATTTGAATGATTAAAACCCAGGCTTGACTGAAAACTGATTTTGAATTTACGGGGTAGCACGCTGGCAGGGAGCGTTCCCGGTAAATTCCAACTTCTTGTCTTTCATGACTTTCCGGATAACAATTTCCCGCCAAAACTTTCACGCGGCCGTACTTGCTACCAGCGGGTACGGGAAGGCTGAATTTAAATGTTCTGGGTCGCATGTGGGGAGGGAACACTATAATAAAATTCCAGCGGCCTAACTTTTATGGTTCCCGAGCTGAAAGTGCGGAAAAAAATGCACTCGAACACACACACACACACACACA